AAAAAAAAAAAAAAAAAAAAAAAAAAAAAAAAAAAAAAAAAGAACCCAGTGATCCTATTCCCAGGTCTTTGGACTGAGGGGGAGGGGGTCCCCTCTGTCCTTGCACCCTTCAAATCCAGAAACTCAAGCTGTGTGATTGTCTCCCTATGGGTTGTTCTTAAAGGGGAGGACTTCACTAGACCATCCTGGCACCCCACACCTCTAGTGTACTGGGTAGTGAGGCAGGTCAGTGATGAGAGCCTGGGGACTCTTTGGTCTCTCTGGGTGTTGTGTGGGGGTCAGGATGGGGCTGCCTGGGAAGCAGAGGATCTTGGCTTCCATCCACATCTTCCTATTCCAGAGAAGCAGGATAGAGCTGGCCTAGGGTTGGACTGCAGCAGTGGCCATACCATAATAGACTATACTGGCTATAGGACCTGTGATACTCTGCAAGCAGGATTATTAAACATGCCCCGAGGCTCACAAACCACAATATTAAACATGGTTCCTTCTTGGCAGAGGAAACAGACTTCAGAGCTAAGCTGGGGTACAAACTTTGAACACTATACTTAGAGTAGGGGGAAAGGCTCAGCGCCATGGGAAGATGCCAAGCCTAGCCAAAGGTCTACTATGAACCTGCAAGAAGGTAGGAGGCAGAGGCGGGGAGTGGCAGGTGTTCTCTATCTCCAGGTCTTGCACCCTCCAAGGACTTTAGGAGAGGAAGGGCCCATCATTGCTATCCAATCCAATGAGATGGTAAGCCTGGACACTGAGGAGAGCTGTGGGGCTCTGTCTCCCCTCAGGTGGGAACTCAGCAACTGCTTAGCTGAGGCTACAGTCTGATTCCTGCATGTCTGGGTGCTTCAACAGATATAGCCAAGGCTGCATTTGAACCTGGGCCCTGAACCCCAGGTGCATCTGGCCAAGTCTGAGTCCTTTCCCGGGCTCCTGCTGTCTCTTTCCTCTCTGGCTCCCTGCCTACATCCTCCCTTCCGGTTCTTTTGCCTTTCCCTTAAGTACTGGGCCCTCTCCTGAGCCCTATATCCACCACAGACTGGAAAGCAGCTCTTATCTAGTGGCTGACTGACTTAGCATTCAGAGTTGTCTGCATGAACAAATAAGAGGTCACAGCCCAGATTCCTGCTGGCCAGACACCTGGCCTTGCTGGACACCCTTGGAAACAGGACAGCCCCTGGACAGGGCTGGCCCAGTCCCCACCCTTTCCATGGCACAGGCTCCTGGGCTTGTTGTTGTCCCTTAGGAAGAAGAACTCTGCATCTGAGCTGCACCTTTCTCTGGCTCTCTTGCTCCCCAGGCCCTCAGAGTGTCAGTCTCCTGGTTACTTCCTCAGGAGATGTCCTGACATCAGATGAGGACATGTGACTGTTGTAAGAAGCACACAGAAACCACTGCCTAACCGAAGATGAGGAACAAGGGCTAATGGCCCTACCAACAATGGGACAACTTGGCCCCAGTTCTTCAGACATGGCTCCACTACAGCCTCCATGGCCTTTCATGGACACTCTCCCAAGGGCTCAAAATGTATCCTCCTGAGTGACACACCCTACCTATAGAGAACTCTGCCCTGAACATACGATTTCCTGATAGCTCATTCCATCCCATAGCCTCTGCCCTGATCACCCTCTCTCTGTGTCAGGTTCTCTCTCTCTCTCTCTCTCTCTCTCTCTCTCTCTCTCCTCTCTCCTCAGAGTTCCTGGCTTGTGAGTGATTCTGTCAAGGCCAGTCCAGGCCTCCACCGAAACAGGACAAGTCCTAGAGAAGGCTGGGCTGGCAGGAGCTTGGTGGCTGGAGTTGGACTTTCCCCAGACTCATTTAGCATAACCTTGGGGAACAGAGAGCCTGTCTGAGGGAGGGAGAAGGCTAGTTTGCCTCATCCTGATATGACAGGAAGACCAGAAGGCAGGAAGGAAGGAAGCAGCTTTCCGAAGAGCCTCCTGTGTTCAGGCTGGGTAAATGATGGTCTCTCAGATCCTCAATTCTTGATCAGCCACTCAACCTAGTTCAAAGAACTCCTGACAGTGCTGGGGCCTGCGCCCCTCTACTCCCAAGAGGGCTGGCCAGGCACAGAGGCCATAGTGTGGACTGGCCTCAGCCTGTCCAAGCTTCAAAGGTGTATCAGGTAGCTGAGGTGGGCCAAGGAAACCCCACAAAATGACCACATATCAGGGTTCCTGGGCTAGCTGATCAGTAGGTGCTCCAGAGGAGTTCTGGGGCCTGGTGCCATGAAGGAGGTTGTAGGCCCCCAGGGAGCAGCACTCACAGGAGCAAGGCTGCAGCAGAGCACAGCAGTGGATGGGGCAGGGGGATGGATGCCTTGGCTGT